TCGGCTGGATACTAAGGCACTTTCGGATATTCCGTTCTTTACGTTCATTTTCGATAAACGGTATATAGACTTGATACGGATTTGGGTCTGAAGAGAGATATGAAGTCTTTATATGACATATTTGGTCCCTTGACAGTTGTGATGGCCGGTTCCCGGTTGCTTGAGGCCTATCAAGGCTTCTTTCTTGCAGATTTCCCTGTGTCCTGGTCATATCACGGGCCGTACCAACAAGCCATGGCAAGTTTGACCAGAGCCAGTTCAGCCCAATGCTTTCGCAATTCCGTGACCAAGTCGGCAAGGCAACTTATGCTCCTTTAGTCTATCTCGTCCCCGTATTCCTGTCATATTTCCCAAGAGCTCACATGCCCACCCAAGCGCCAGGGGGGCACCTCTATCGCCCTTGAATCCTGCATGCTTCACATACTCTCCTTTTGCAGCGCCTGCATTTGTTCAACGTCCAATGCGGACCAGAATGACACACGGGGCAGGTGTACTATGTCAAGGTCACCCGTGTTACTGAGGGTATCACCATTCAGGACATGAGGAGTCCATACGTACTCTAGGATGTCTCCCCGACGAGAGGGTCTCATCATCGTGACAGCAACAGTGTCTTGGGAACATGTCGCCTTTTGTTGAGATTATCGATGGCTGGATGAAGTCAATGTAGACTTCGGCGTGTTATTTTGGGTTTTGTGCAAGTTGTACTGGTGCTTAGGTATGGATAATGACGGAGCTCGAAGAAGGCATCGGTATACCATGAAGCGAATGTAAGGTAGCTTTGGATATAGGAAGTATATATAGACATCCTGTAGAGCAGTGAGGCCAAAGTGGTGTGCCCTTGCCCATCGCTTCACGTCCACTGTTGCCTGACTCTTCCCAAGACTCGAGGAGTGAAGCGCAGCCTACCGAGCTTACTGCAAAGTTAATATGCTACGACACGCCGTTTAGGTGCATGTACTGCGTTGTTGTTGTTGTTGTTGTTTGACAGGTCTGCGAGTTGGACCACCACCCTGACAGCTCCTTCCCATCTCATTTCCTCCTTCGCAACTTCCTCGCCGCTCGAAGGTTATTTGGTTATTTGGCTTCACCTTCTCAAGTTCTTGCTTTACCTGCAAACGCTACAAGAACAGAGTACCCTTGGTGAAATACTTCTGTGATGGACCTGCAACATACATCCCACCCGAGTCTCGAGAGGAGACCTTCAGCTCCGGTGAATGCGATGCTGCAATCCGTGGTCAACGTGTTCCCGATGCCCTCAGCTACCGGCTCACCCAGCTTTGTGTCATAAGGGGCACACGATATCATCCTGGCTTTGCTGCCGAGCTTCGAGGTCTTACTCCAGAGTTCACCCGCGCGCTGAATGCTCGTAGCATTATGAGCGACGACATCCCGGAGATGAACCAGGACGACGACATCCCGTGCTGCATTTGGCACCCAGATGTGGCGAGTGAAGCAACGTACCGCGAGCTGGTCTTGAGGTATCCTCAGATGAAGTATCACGTTGCCAGAGCCTGTGCTATAGCCGGATATACGGACTTGTACCGCGAACTCGACGTGCTTCCCGAGGTGCATGTGGCCGAAGAGGCCCGAGACAATGGCTGTACTGACATCTTCAACATCATCATGTCAAGTCACACAAAGTACTCCGTCATGGACGACTACATAAGGACTGTGAACCTTAACAAGCCTGCCGTCTCAGCGCTCAATAGACTTTGGCGACTCAGACTCGGAGGAAGAAGCCACATCGTCGACTCCGTGGTATGGGGAGCATTACTTCAACATAACGGAGGACTGGTGCATCTATGATCACGAGACCGAATCATCTAACCTCGACCCCAAGCGCGATGTTTCTAACATCCTCTTCACACCGCTGCCTACAGATCTGCCAGCCAGAAACAAGGACGTCTTGATTCTCATAGCCGCCAATTACGGTGATATTGACCGGTATTCCCGACTTCGACGCCCCGTTATCATCGCTAAGGAGATCAACTGCTTGATGCGCGGCATCTATCACAATACTCTCTTCGCCCGCTGGTGGGCCGACCAGCTCTCCGTCGCTTATTCTCCCCACGCCACCCGAATCCCATCTCGGTTCGTCTATTACCTTCAGTGTGCTATGACAGCTCGGTACATCATGAACAGCGACCTCTGCCGCGTTACTCGTACCACTTTAACCCATGAACTACCGTACTGTATCTGGTATCTGCGGACCGCAGGTTCCCGGAACACTGCCTCCAACAGGTGATAAGCAGCTAGCCGACCTCAACCCCTGCCCGCTGAATGCCTGCTGTGACATCTGGGGCCAGTGCGGCAACACAGAAGAGTTCTGTGAACCTTCGCAAGCAGACTCGGGTGCTCCGGGCACAGCTCAGCCGGGCAAGAACGGCGGCATATCTAACTGCTACACAGCCATCGTGAATAACGACGAAACGCCTGCTTCCCAAGCCAAAGTGGCGTACTTTGAGGGCTAGAATGCTGATCGTGCTTGCCTCCATATGGATGTGACTTCAGTGGACAGCTCCTACACCCATATCCACTTCGCATTTGCGACCATCGACGAGTCGACCTGGACCGTGGACACCTCCAAGGTGAATGACCAATTCGAGCTCCTCAAGGGCATGACAGGTCCTAAGAAGATCCTATCATTCGGTGGCTGGTCCTTCTCCACCGATCCCGACACGTATCCCATTTTCCGACAAGGCGTCACGTCGGCGAACCGTCAGGCGTTTGCAAACAACGTTGTGGATTTCATGGTCAACAACGGTCTCGACGGGCTTGACTTTGACTGGGAGGTAAGCAACTCATCCATGTGATCCACCATACGGTTAAGTCGTCTGGACGTCTGGACGCCGCGAAGATATACATATCGTTATCTGTGGTGCTGACTCTTATCCGTGACAGTATCTGGGCGCCCCAGATATCCCTGGTATTCCTCCTGGAAACAAGGATGATGGCGCCAACTATCTGGAGTTCCTCAAGATTATCCACGCCAGGTTGCCGGCTGGAAAGACACTGTCCATCGCTGCGTCAGCCTCGTTCTGGTATTTGAAAGGCTTCCCGATCAAGGATATGGCGCCGGTATGGATTACATCATTTATATGACGTACGATCTCCATGGACAGTGGGATTACGGCTACAAATGGTCAACCGAAGGTTGTCCCGAGGGTAACTGCCTGCGATCGCATGTCAACCTGACTGAGACGGTCAACGCGCTGGCCATGATAACTAAGGCTGGCGTCCTGGCTAAGAAAGTCTTCATGGGCATCACTAGTTATGGACGTTCCTTCAAAGATGGAAAAGGCCGGTTGAACCGGCGAGATGTGCCGCTATCTCGGGCCGACGTCGCAAGCCAAGAAGGGCGAGTGTACCGACACGGCAGGTTATATCTCCAACGCTGAGATCGAGGCCATCATATCAGATGGTACAGCAACTTCTGTTTTCCGCGATGCCAGTTTCACCAATATCCTGGTGTACGAAGACACTGAATGCGTGGCACACATGGACGAGACAAACAAGAACCAGCGAACGAACCTCGCCAAGGTCTGGAAAATGGGCGGCACGACCGACTGGGCTGTCGACCTTTGGCAGTATGGAACGAATAGCGGGGACAGCACCAACCTCAATGACCCCAGCATTCCGTGGTATGACATGCCGGACTGCGCGGCGGCATACTTTACCCTGGACGACGTCGAGAGGAACAAGGGAAGCATACCTGACGCGTGCATGAACGCATACGTGTTCGGCGCTCTGGCCATGATGATGCAGAAGTCTCTGGACCAGTACCAGGACGTCCTTGACGACGGCTATGACCACGCGTTCAACACCTACTCCGACTACGTCAAAGAGACATCGCCGGAAGCGCTCCACAACTTCATGGTCGACCATGGCGACCCGTACTTTACTTGCGTCATCGAGGAATGGACTGGCAGCGACTTCAAGAACAGGACCATGGATTGCCCGCCTGACACCGATGGGCATGCGTATAACGTGTACTGGTTGCCGAAGGATAAGGACAAGTTTTTCAAGGACTTGACAGATGCCACTGGTATCGATCCTTCCTGGGTCCAGCTCACAACGTGGCGGTACATGCCCTGCCTCCCAGAGCAGAAGGATCACTGCGATGAATTTGGCGCTTTCAAGAACTACCCGCAAATGACGGACTTCAAAGTCAACAACCCCAAGGACTTCATAAACGAGATGAGGCCGAAACTGGAGGACACGGTTGGACACGTTGTTTGAGTACAACTCGCTGGCGCGCATGTGGATGTACGAAGGGTCGCACCTGGATATCGCAGACGGCACATCGCTGATGGCGTTCATGGTCCAGTCGTCGGTGGATGCCATGGAGGGCATCAAGAAAATGGGCGACAAGATTGACGACGAGAAGGAGAAGAACCTGATCCTGCTCATCCTGACGGCTTTCCTGATGATCATTCCAGGCATTGGCGAGCTTGTCATCCCGGCCGAGCTGGCCAACCTTGCGCGTATCATGGCTATTGGCGCCGAGGCTGCCAATGCGGCGCTCGACATCTACCAGGTGGTCCAGGATCCGTCAAGCGCTCCGCTTGCTGTGTTCGGCATCCTTCTCGGAGGGCTGTCGCTTCTCAAGGCGCCCAAGATGTTCGGAGACGCAGCGACGGCCAAGCGGGCCATGAAAGCGGGAGACCTTGCCAAGCTAGGCGACACGGTCAAGAATGGCGTGCAACGAGTCAATTCATTGACAAAGACGTGCAAGCTTCTGTGAGACAGCAGTGGAGGCTTGGTCGGACGGCTTGTGGTGACTGGTTGACGATTGGACTACCGCGACTCGTAGAGGTTTGAAGCGACTTGCAGATCAACAGAGAATTCTCTGTCCGATGTTGATGCTCGTGTGACAATGTTCCCCATCGTGGCTGTGAGGTGCATTTAAGAATAATACTGCCACGCCAGACGCGCCAATAACATTGGAAAGAGGGTCGGATACGGCTAGATCCGACGCGCACGTGCCACGCCATCGGGACCGGCCAATAAGATTCGAACTTATTTCTTAGTAGCCGTAACACTATGTTTTACCATTAAACTAATAGACTTAAATATTTATATATAGATTAAATATTTAAACTAAATGTAAATATTTTTAGTTAAAATCGTAAGATCTTTTTTTTGAGGCATTTTGAGCTATAGTCGAATTAGAAGTTCTTTTAGTGCTATTTTGGTTATTAGTACTTAAGATTTTCCTACTTTCCGCCGCCGATTCTTTAGACAATATAGTTAATTGATCGAAAAGTTTATCTAATTGTTCCTCTATAAAGGCTTTTTCCTTCTTATCTTTGTAATCTTAAATCTAAGAAGAAAGAGCTTTTATTTCTAAGCTAATACGTTCTACGTATCTATCAAAAACTTTTATAAGCCGTTTTGAGATATAATGGTTGGAAACCTTACTAGTATTAGGTATAGTAGAATTATTAGCTTTTTTAAGGTTTTTCTCCTTATTTAGCAACGGCTCTTCTTTTTGAATACCTATAGCATTACTAGTTAGAGAAGAAGAGCTTCTAGAAGAATTTCCTCTAGAATTATTATTATCTATAGGATTTATATTCCTAATACTTATTATAGTATTATATATAGGGAATACATCTTTAATCCCTTCTTCTATTAAACCTTTGAATCTTAACCTACAAATTAACCTTAGAAATTCTACTATAATATATTTAGAGTAGTTAAGGATATTATTAAATTAATTCTTAAACATATTAAATATATAAAAGGATAAACCAAATTGTTTAATAAAACAAATAAGAATTAAACTAATAAAACCAATTATTATATTAGCTACCGAAAAATGTTTTATTAGACTTTTAATAGTAAATTAAGGTTGATTTAGTACTAAAGTAACTAGTATTAATGCTAAACTTATACTTAGAAATGCGATAGTATAAAGTTTAAATGTTAAATTTGTTATTTCTTTTCTATTTTAGTTGCTTTGTAGTAAGTAAGGATTGTTTTAATAGAAATTATTAAACCTAAAGAATACGGAAATTTACTTATATTAAATAGAGATAATACGCAAGTACGTACGCAAATAGGCACACACTTAAGTACGTCCTCTACATATACTTCGTATAAGTAGTATAAAATATATAATTTTACTCTATAATGTATTAATATACAAAATAAATATTGTAGTTGCTATATAAAAACTAACTAAGGTTTTATAGATTAGTAGTAATCCTACTAAAAATATAATTAAATTTATAATAGAAGTAAAAATAGCAATTTGTATAATAAAAATGATAATAGTATATATTTTATATAAAGTAATTAAAAATATCTTTTCTAAATTGATTTTTAAACAATTATTATTGTTCTTCTAATTATATAAGGAATTTTTCTAAAGATACTAATTCTATTACTATAGGTATAGAACTATATAGTATACTATAAATTTCTAAATATTGACTATAAAAAACTCCTTCTCTATTAATAAATATAGAAACTTAGTTTAATCTTCTTAGGTATACGTCAGCTTTTATACCTAAAGAAGGATAAGTAAATGAATATATTATATTACTAGTAGTAATTATAAATCTAATATATGTTAATTCTAGAAGTATAACTTTATTATCTACCTTTAATATTCTTAATGTTCCTTCCTCTAAATTAGATTTAGGTACTATATAAGAATCAAATTCTATGAATTCCTTATTTGAATCTAAGAAATTAGGATATTAATAACTTTAGTATTATTAATAACTTTTAGCTAAAATAGATATTGAAGGGTTACTAACTTCGTCTATTAAATATAATAATTTGAATGAAGGGAAAGCTATTAATATTAATATTACTCTAGGAGTAATAGTTTATATTAATTCGATTAATGTACCGTAGTTTAAATACTTGTGTAATATAAGGGATTTATTACTAATATAATTTCTTATTATAGATAATAATATTTATCTTATACTAAACAATATAATTACTAGATAATATATAATATTATTATGTAATTCTACTAATCCTTCTATTTAAAGTGTAGCGCTATTTTGAAAATATATACCTTAAGTAGTAAAAGTATTAAGGTTAATAGCTAAAATTTTTTTTATTAAACTTATATTTACTTTTATATTTTATTTCTATATAGAATTATTTTAATTTAATAACGTTATTATTACTTCTTTAGATATTATATAGAATTATTAATCTTAGTTAATCTTCTATAATATAATTAACTTAGATTATAGAGGATTAACGCATTAGTAGATAACTAGATTAGTACGCGACTACGTACGTTGTATTCTTAATAGTAGTAACTAAAGAATATCTTCCCTCCCTCTTATACTAGGATATTCTATATATTTAATTGCTACTATTATTTAGGTGAAAGTCTTTAATTTAATAAAGAAATGTTTGTAAAACTTCCTTTTTTTTTTGTAAAATCTGAATTTTGTTTAGTATATATGTTTAAAGTACCTTTACCTAATTCAAATACGAAACTTAAAGTAAGAATAAAAAAGAATATTAATAGTACCCCTAATTTATAAATTTTATTATTAAATGAGCTAATAGTATAAGGAAAGACTAAAAATATTTCTAGATTAAAAAGTAAGAATAAAAGACTGTAAATATAGAATGTTATATTAAATAGAAATCTAGTTTGTAAGAAAGAATGAAAACTATACTCGAAAGCCGATAACTTTTCTTAATAAAGATTATAAAGAGCAAATACTAAATTAATAAATAAAAATAATAAAGTAATTATATATACTAATATAATAAAAATAGTTATACTACTTATTTAATAATTAAATAAAATTTATACTAATATAGCACCTATATTTAATTATTCCTTATTTATAAAAATGAATAATAATATTATTAATGTAATGATAGAAATTGTAATAGCTATAGGGCTAGAAATAGATATATTTTTATAATTAAATGTAACATTTTTAATTACTTTATTTTTTCTATTAAAAATGTTTCCGTTTAATATTAAATTTTTAAATAAGGGATTTACTTTATATTTAAGTGAAAAAAAGAAAATTTCTTTAATTATATTTAAATAATATACTACTCTAATTACATTAGTAAGTATTGCTATTAAAGATATAAAAATATATCCGTTATCTAAAGTAGCATTTAAAACTATCTATTTAGCAAAAAATCTTATAAGAGGAGGTATTCCTACAAAAGAAAATATAGTTATAGTTAAACTTAAAGATAGTAAAGGATTTATATAAAAATATCCTTTTAATTGACTAATTAATTGTATAGGAGAATTACTTTTATTTAGTAATTCTTTACCTAATTTTTTATTAGTTTCCTTTAAAGAAAATAAAGAAAATCCTATAGCTATTAGTATAATAAATGCATTTAAATTACTAATAGAATATTATATTAAATAAAATATAAAAGTTTAAGTAGATTCTATATTAGAAATACTTAAAGCTAATAATATAAAACCTAAATGAGAGATAGTATTGTAAGTAAACAATCTTTTTATTCTAAATTGTGTTAAACCTACAACTATACTTATTATTAAGGATAATAAAGAACTTATTAATAAACTAAATGTTCAACTAATAGCTTATCCTTTAAAAAAATAATTACTTATATAATAAACTAATTCTAATAAAAAAACAAATATAGAAATTTTAGCTATTATAGCTACAAATGTAGTAACTATAGTAGGAATACTATTATAAATATTAAGAGATTAAAAATAAAAAGGAGCTGTACTTATTTTAAATAAAAATCTAATACTAAGTATAAGTAAAGAAAAATTAATATAATAAGGTTTGTATTAAGAAACTATATTATTATTTATATCGCTTATGCTACTAATTATATATAATCCATCTATACTAGTAGTACTTAAATTTGCATATAAAAGACTTGTACTTAATAAAATAAAATATAAACTTAAACCTCCTAATAAAAAATAAATTAAACCTTTTATAGTAGATAATTCGGAATTTCTATATATAGTACTTAGTAAATATAAACTATAACTTTGTAACTCTATTGATAAAAAAATAGAAACTAAGTCACTAGTTGATATTAAAAACATAGCTCCGCTAATAATAAATAATAAAATCAAAGGATATTCTATTATTTTTAAATATTCTCCCATTTTATTAATAATTTTTGTTCTATAATATATAAAATTATTAAATAAAAGATCTTTTAAAGAAGAATATTCTTTTACTCAAACTTTTCTAAAGTAGAAATTTGTTAATTGTAATATTAATATACTTATAAAAAACACAAAAATATGAAAAATTTGTATAATAGTATTTATATGTAGTAAACCTCCGTGTATACTAATACCTTTACTTATTATAGATAAACTTGTTATATTATGTAAAATATAATAAATTAAAGCTATAATAGCTACTCTATTAAAAAGTATTAATATATCTCGTCTTAAAGTAACGGCATTAGAAATTAATAAAGAGAGTATAGAAAATAAAATCATATTTAAGAATTAAGTGTAAATTTTTTTATACAAACTAAAAGAGAAACTCGAATTCTTATCTTTAACTTATAAAATTAAGGTTTTAACCTATTAAACTATCCCAATTTAAATAGGGACAATACTCTGAATTGAATAGAGAATCTACTATGCTATATATAGCCGCTCTACCTATTAAGCTATATTATCCTTAATAATCCTCCCTAAAAATTATATTAGGTAGGGAGGAACTAAGCAGCTATTATCGTAAAGCCTACTTATTATCTCCATCTATACTAGCAACTATATACGCCTAATTTTATATTAGAGTAATTCGAATACTTAATTGTAAATATTAAAAATTTATAACTTACCTATTAGTCTACAATATATATATAAAATAATGTAGGATTTTTAAGCGAGCTAACTTTATATGTGCCTATATTAAACTCCTATTTATCTTATTTATAGGTAGTAAGATTTGAACTTGTATAGTATTTAAACTATTCTAACCTAAGGGGAATATGTCTACTAATTTTATTATATCTATTGTAAATAATAATAGCTTATTAAGGCGAAGCCGTTAAATCGATACTTTTCTTACTACTAATACATTTTTACTACTTTTAAATATATAAATTACTCGAGATAAGATTTGAACTTATAACCAAAGTAGCTTCAATGTTTTACTCTACTAATTAAGCTACCTAAGCTTATTATGCTAGCTTAATATTGGAATTTTGTATATTAATGCTGCGGAATTTCTAAAGGTGCGTACTAGTTAACCTAAAAAATCCACAGCTATCCTTATATAGAGATACTAGGAATCGAACCTAGGAATCCGACTTGCAAAGTTAGTATTTTACTAACTAGACTATATCTCCTACCCTTTTTTTAGTACTAAGTAGCCAATTTAACTCGCTACCTATTATAATATTATTTTATAATATAAAGAATATTCGAAAAAGGACTTGAACCTTTATAGTATTACGCTTATATAATTTAAGTGTGTTGTATCTTCTATTCTACTACTCGGATTTAAAATATATATTAACCTAATATAATATCTGTAATTATTAAATAAAAATATATATAGATAAAGGATTTGTACCTCTATTTTCTAATTATAAGCCAAATATGTTTCTATTATATTAATCCGTATTACAATAGCAGCGTTAGAGGGAGGAGGGGGTCCCCTTAGTATAATAACTACCAAAGCGTTAGTTAAATATCCTTACTATAATCGTAAAATAACCCTCTTAAAGCAATAAGGCTAAAATGAGTTGAATACTTATAATTACCGTTATAAGTAGTACGCTTTACCAATTAAGCTATAGCCTCTCTTATAGTGTAAAAGGAAGTATATAAATTTAGACTAGGCGGGGTTCGAACCTACGATTATAGTATTGAAAGAGCTAAGTCTTAACCAACTCGACTACTAATCCTAAAAGTTAACTCGGTGTAAGTATCGCACTTACGTCTATTAATTACAAAACAATTGCATTACTTTTATACTAACTAGGCTAAGTGAAAAATGAAAGATATATTAATTAATTAGTTTTTTATAAAATTAGTACTTAGTTCCTTAAAATCTCTAAATTCTTACAAACAAAGCTTATTTGCGTAATATTATATTACGTATATTTAAGAAATATCTTAAGGTAAGTTTCGTACCTATATACTTTCAACACTTATCTTTGGCTAACTTAGCTTTCTTGCTGTACTTATGCTATTTATTTACTTAAGTAATAGTAACATCTCTTATATAATAAACCTAAATTTATTAAATTAATATTAGGTATATAAACAATAGGTAAACCATAAGTTAACAAAACTACTATGTAATAAGGCATAATAATAGTACCCTATATTCCTTTCGTATAAGGTTATTCCTTATTATATTCTAATTCCCTTTAGAAGATAGAAACTATATTATCTTACGACGTATTTAACCTAGCTTATGTAACTTTTTAATCGACAAATAGTCGTACCTTACATAGTTTCTGTATCTATAAGGATAAGTTAAGCCGATATCGAAGTACTAAACTACGTACTTATTTTGTATACTCTTACGCAAATTAGCCTATTCAACTTATTATTATAAAGTACTCTTTATTTCTATCTTTTTCAAAATAGTTTAGACTATTTCTTTAATTTTTTTTATTATATATTAAAAGCTTATAACGAAATTTATAGGCGATTAACTTACATAGTAGCTATATAAAAATTATTTACCACTAATTCAACCTTTTACTACAAATGCTCTAATACGACGTTTAGATGTATATATTGAATATTCTACATTAGGTTTAATAAAACCTCTTAGATTTATAAAAGATAATCCTTTATAAGAAGAATCTATATTTTTCAATCTACCTTTTCATTTTACTTTAAATAAAGCTTTATCTACTGTATAACGTTTTGTTAATCTACCTTTAATTTCTAATCTTATACCTCCTATATCTTTATATTTAATAGAATTAAATATAATTTTATATATTTTACCGAAATTAGGCGTATCTATATTTTTTTGCGTAGATTTCTGAAAAATATCCGCAGACTACGATAGTATAAGTGTATTTTGTTCCACCATAAGATTATAATACAAATTATTAAATACGTTATCTAACTTAGATTTTCCAAGCGTAATAGGCACTAATATAATAGAATTTAAATTAAGATTTTTATATTTATTATCTATTAAATCCATATTTACATTTTTTATTATAAGAGATTTTTCTCTTACTCTATTTAC